GGTGTAAATGCGCGCCGCAGTGGCGGCCTGCGATTCCGAACGAGCTCGGGGCCTCGGCGAGGCCTCGGAGGTGGGGGGCGCCAGCGCATTAGCATTGAGGGAGCGCCCCCAGGACTTGAACCAAACCCCAAGCACTTCCGAAATGGATGGCACGAGGCCCCAAGGACATCTCCGGAACAAGGAGGGCTCCGCAGGGCGCGCCCCCTGGACGTCGACAAACAAAACTGCCTGAACACGCAAGTGCATCCGCGGCAGAAGAGGGGGTGTCGAGCTGCTCCGAAAGACCTCGCAACTCTGTCCTCGCTGGTCTACATGTTCGGGTTAGCGAAAACTCTGCAGGGTGCCTGGCGCCGCTGCCTCGGCATTCTGCATCGCTGCATCTGCATCCTCCTCCTCGCTGCTGTCCTCTGGGGGAGGGCGCTGGCTCTTGTGCGGAGACTCCTCGCATGGGTCGGCTGAATCGCCCACCGCTGTGTCTCTGCCAAACTGCAGCTTGACTCGTCTGGGTTGGCGCGAAGCGCGTTCGAGCTGGCCCTCGGCGAGCGAGACCTTGCCCGTCGCCTCGACGACCCCCACCCCCTTGCCTGCGCGGAGAGGGCGAGAGCCTGATGGCACCGCTGCGCTCGAGGGCTCTGCGGCGGCGCCTCCACGCCCTACAGAGGCATGCTGCGCTGAGGCGGCTGGCGTCCACGGCGACGCAGAGGCCAGGGCGGCCGCGGCACCAGGCTGCATCGTCAGCTGGCTGAGCGTCTGCTGGGTGGCGGCCATCGAACCCTGCAGCGTTGTCAATGATGATGTCAAGAGCGCTTGTCCAGCCTGCAGTTATGCAATGACCTGCGGGGCGATGGCGGATGTCGTTGGCTGTGGCTGGAAAGGCAACGGCGTTGCAGGTGGGGCGACTGCGCTTGCGCCCTCGACGAAGGTGACGACCTTGACGTCCTCCTCGGCAAGCTCCTGAGCATATCCTGCGCCTGGGCCACCTCCGCGGCTAGTGCTTCGCGCTGGCGTTGAGCTGCTGAGAAGCCAATCTCTGCTGCGCGCTCCGTCTCCAGCGCATCCTTGAAACGCTTGGTGATTATGGCCGGGTATGCGGTCAAATTTCTGGTCCGTGCCTTGCTCGCAAACGAGTGGGCACATGAACTGAAAAACTGCATGCTCAATGCGTTTGGCCTCTAGCTGCGGAGTTGCCTCGGAAGATGAAACCGGTTCCTGGGCCAACATGTGCTGCTTGACCGCACTCATGGCTGCAGATGTTGACAGTGATTATCTCGATCTATCGTGGGAGCAGGAGGCTCTACCAAGAGGTGATGAGCTTTGGCATCCTGCACAGTGGCAACCCTCTGCTTCAGGAAGGGAGTCTCGTTGTGTCCGCTGTCGTCTGTCGCTGGCTGCTCTGCAGACTGGCGCCCGCGAGATGAAGCCCGCGATTGAGACCTGTCTCTGCGGCAAGGGCGACGCGACTGGCCAGCGTTGTCTGGGTAGCATGTTGATCACCACGCCGTAGCTGGTGAATGAGAATATTCACCGCGAGAGCAGAACCATGAAGCCCCTGCGCTGCGCCATGGTGCTGTCTTGCTGGCCATCGACTGCTGTTGCTGCTGCTGCGCGCTGTGGCGTGCTGCCAGCGTCCGCTGCGCGGCTGCCAGCCGCGCGATCACTCTCGCCTGTCTGCGGCGCTCTCTGGCGCGCCGATGCCAGGCACGCTCGCCGCCGCTGCTCGGCCGACGAGACGTGGCGCTGGCCACGCGCGACGGCTGCGCGGCCAGACAAGCAGTCGAGTCGATAGCTGCGGCCATAAGAATGGGGACAGCAGGAAGGAAGAATGAGAATCCATCCCTTCCGCAAGAATAAAGCAGCCAGCACGGCGGCTCCACGGCCTGGCGCCAGCACCTCCCGAGGGCACAGCGCACGACACGCCCTGCACAGCTACATTGCGGCGCAAGGCCGAACGGAAGCGTCGGCATTCCCACGGGCCAGCCGTGGCGACGAGACCCAAGAAGGGCACCGACAGGAGCGCGCCACGTCCACCACCCCGAAGGGTCGCGGAGGGTGCACACCCCACCCCCGCGGGGACGGCCCGACAGACCAGAGGGCCCAAGGAGCGGGGCCGACAGCAGCCAGGGCACCCACGGGCCGAGGCAGGCCACACACAGAATTTCGAGCCGAGTCCAGCACGTCACGAGCAGGCGGCGGCGCCTGAGTGTCTCGGCAGCTTCGCTGAGCCACCGACCAACGCTGGCTGGGCAATTATTATTGATCAGCTGTATTATCACGCAGACAATGAAGGAAAAAACACAATCAACTTCAATCAGAAATTGTGTGAAAATGTCCGCACAAACAGCCAGGTCACCAATCAACACAGGATAGGTGAATGAAGATTAAAACCTGTGAGCGTACAGATATAATAGATCTGCGCACACATTCTGGGCTACAATCAGCAAACCTGATCGTATATCAAATGGGCACTCCCGGCCTCCGAAGTCGAGGCATTGCCTCGCGTCCGCGGGCACAATCGCTGGGCCTCGCAGCCCGCTCTTCCCGCGCGGGGCTTCACCCACTTGATCAGCAGCATGCCATCCATGAGGTCGCTATGACCTTCGAAGACGGTGTCGACCACGCCGTGCTGGCCGACGACCGCACGCTGCAGGCTGCTCTTGCCGAGGTCGTGGGCGCTCAGCGGCAGGAAGGAGGTGGCCAGCACGAGTGGAGAGCCTGCCACCGCACCACGACCAGCGCCTTGATTGAAGATGCAGTCCACCTCCGTGGACCTGAAGACATTGAGGTACTCCTTGGACGCGTCGGTCTGCAGCACGTCCTTCACCTCATCCTGCTTGGCGGCAACAGTGCACTCCAGCGCCCTCAACGTGCCCGCCGACACGCAGGTGTCCGCAAGCGATGAGCTGAAGGAGCAGCCCACCAGCTCGCCCAACGGTTGGCCAGTCTGCACGCCGACCTCCATGGCGAGCACCGGCTGGCTCACCAATGCCTGCGTCTTCCAAGCTGCGGCCCCGGCCTCCATGGTGTCGAGGGCCAGGCCGTCGCACAGAGCCTCCGCCTCCGCGAGGGCCCTCGGCCTCTGCGCGCGCCTCGGTCTCCACGGTGAGGGAGGCCTCGAGCGCCAGGGCGCGGCTCTCGGCCGCATCGCGCGCCACCGCCTCCGCCGCGAGGGAAACCTCCAGCTCCTGGCACCTGGACTCCAGAACCTTCATCTTATACCGCACCGCCGTCACGCGTTTCTCCTCCAGGGAGTCTTGCACCTTCGGCTCGGGTGTGGCCTTCGGCTCTTTGACCATTGCGGCTGGCTCCTCACAGCGATGGCGAGGAGGCTTGCCAGGAACACCATCAGGAGGCTGGATTACGGGCTTGGCCAAGGCGTCCAGGACTTGTGCCCGTAGCTGTCCTGGTGGATGGGCAGCTGCACGGCGTTCATCTCTCCAAAGAACGAAGTACTTTGAGAGCTCATCCTCTCCCCTCAAGACCAAGCCTTTGCGAATATCTTCTGAAGATGCCTTCTTGGAGAGACCTAGCGGGGTAGCGGCCTCCTTCATGAGGCAACTGAACTCGCTGATGTGCTGCTGGAGGTTGTGTTCAGCCTCGCCACCACACAAGAAGTGCATGATGTCAGGAGCTTCACGTGGATTGGATACGTAAGCAACGCATCGCCCGTGACGAATGGAAATCCCTTTCCCCATGATGCAAGAAAGGGTGAGTGGATTGCGGAAGATCCAGTGCCGTAGAGAGTGTGCAGACGAACACTCGAGCCCAAATGGCTCCCAACGCCATGCTACAGTGATAGTGCATAGTAACGCTGAAAGGTAAGAGTGCAATACCCGCAATACCCTTGAAGTCAACGCAGTAACGATTGCAGCTGTACCAGGCCAACAGCGCCAGGGGATCGACAGCCAAGGGATGCTAACGGTGGGCCAAAGAGACAAGGATGCAAGGGCAATCTTGATAGAACACTGCATCCTTACTGCAGGCTTCGACTGCGAGATCGTGCTGGCAAATGGATGGATCCTGTGGTGTAAGAATGCGCGCCAGCGCAAGTCCCGTGGGGCCAGCGTGGCACTCGAAAGCCAGTTCCAGAGGCAGACGGTGTGAAGGCCGCGTGAAGAGGACCCGCCACCCCCCACCCATCTCCACCAGAGCAACATGACACCTTTCGAATCGACAAGTGGATCGACCAGAACATCGAATCGGCAGACGTCTTCTGAAAATCGGCAGCGCCATCGAATCGGCAAGCATCGACAAAGCCCAACCCGATCGATTTGGAAACCGGCAGGATAGACGCCGGATCAAATTCGAAATCGGAAGCCCAGAGGGGAGACAACGGAGAGAAGGCAGACGACGACGACAAGGAGGAGAACGAAGGCCGCCACGCCGCTGGGCTGGCCGACGATTGGGCGCCGCTCCTGAAGCTTGCGCAGCCAGCAGGCACGTGAGTCTTGCTGCCCTCCACATGGGGCCCGCCCCCCCTCCCTCCCTCCCTCCCCCCTTTCGTCGTGCCCTCCCCCCCTCAGTGCACCCCCTGAGGGCACCCCTGGGCTCCTGGGGTCCCTCCCCTCGTCATCCTCGTCGCACTCCTCGTGCTCATCGCAATCGCGTACCCATAGTTCGCTAGGATCCTCCCCTCCCCCTCCCTCCCTACCTCCCTCCCTCCCTCTGTGCCCCCCAATCCCTCCCCCCTTCGTCTCGGCTGGGGGACCCCGTCGTCGTGGCACTCGTCGTCACACTCTTCGTATTAGCACTCCTCCTCACAAGACCACAGTCCGATCGGGGCTGGATCGGCTGGAAATCGGAACGAATCGGTAGTCATCGGATGTACGCAGCGCCGGATCGGGTGAACTCGAAATCGGGAGCGTGCATCAGAATGTCGGTTTCGAGAAGGATCGGATGGGCTACCCCAGAAATCAGTTCGAACCGAACTGGTGGGGTCGGAAAGCACCCTGGCTGGTGCACGACCCTGCGACCTCTAGACCCACGCGGCTGCGTGCGGATGCCTCCTTGTCGCACTCATCCGTCTCGCACGTTGACGGCTCCTCGGATGCGCAAGGATGCACCTGTGCGCATAGGAACGGGACGGCAACGCACTGGAGGGCACGAGGGGGTAAACGAAGTGAGGAGGGTGGAAGAGAGACAAGGGGGAAAAGAGGCGAGGAGAAGAGGTGAGGAAGAAAAGACAAGAAGATAGACAAGGAATGTGGAAGAGAGGCAGGGCAGGGTGGCGAGGGAAAGGAACAGGCGGCGCAGGAGGGAGGATAACGGTGAGCGGGAGACAAGAACGGTACTCGCCGAAAGCACGCGCAACCAGCAAGATGAAACATCGGCCTCGATGGACGAGTTTGTTACGTCGGTGCTCCACTCGCGTCGCTACAGGATGTTCTACGTTATGGAAAGACCTACGCATTCAAGGGGTACTCCGGCCAACCCTCCGAGCAACCCCAACCAACCCTCTGCCCAGCCCCTCCTGGCCAACCCCAAAGGCCAACCCTGGCTAGGAGAATCATTTCCATGGAGCGGTGGCGCTTTGTCGCCCACGTGTGGCCACGATGCTGGCAACGCCGTCTGCGTGCTGATCACGGGAGAACCACAGAACAACCACGGCGCAACCGTCGGGACAAGCAGTACGACAACCATCGGGACAACCATCGATATGACCATCAGAGCAACCATCGAAAACCGTGGGCACAACAATCGGATCAATCATCGGGACAATGACCAGGACAACCATCGGGGCAACCATCAGGACAACCATCGGGCAATCGGCAGCCGAGGGTAAAACGGCTTCCTAGCGGTTGCGCCTTAAAATGCGCACTTGGCAGCCCAGAAAAAAACGGTCTGCGATTGGTTGTGCCACAGGCTGCGCACTCGGAGGCCGGCAATTGCGCCGTACGTTGAGATATCGGCGGCTCAGAAGAAAACAGCCTGCTGCTGTGCACAGTAGATTGTGCCCTATGCAGCCAAGAAGAGAACGGCCTGCTGTTGATTGCGCCAACGGTTGCGTAAACGGCGGCTGAGAATAAAGTAGCCTGATACTGGCTGCGCCGTAAGTTCACACTCTGCGGCCGAATAAAACGGCCTGCTACTGGTTGCACCAGATGTTTCGCACTCGGCGGTCGAAAATAAAACGGCCGCCAAGTGGTGCGACCAGTCAGCCAGTCAGTCAGTCAGTCAGTCAGCCAGTCAGTCAGTCAGTCAGTCAGTCCAGTGCACCTCACGAAGAACAAATTCGGGCGACGCCCAAAAATGCACGTGACATGGCTCAGCAAGGCGCACAGCACTACTGCGGCCAGCACGCGCAGCTCCAAGTCCCATCTGATGGAACGCAGAACCGACAAACCCAGGACTGGCAACATGACGCTTGACCGGCGTCCGAACGCTGACCACGCAGACAAGGAACGGGCAACCCCAGCAGAAAAAAATGTATTTCCTTTCCCTCACTGAACCGAAGACAATGAACCGAGACCAGCAGCGGTCCAGCACTGCACTTGAGCGAAACTCTCGAGAATTGGCAGATGCCCGCTGTGCCCCCACTTCCCCTCCTCAACCGACATGAGTTAACGTTCACCACGATGTAACTGGCAGTTGCACACATAGTGTATCTCGTACTCGTTTTAGCTCGAGTCCTCGCGCGTGCCAAAAACCGTCCTGGCGAAGGACCCAACCATATGCAATTGCCAGGATCGCAAGGCACGCGGGACGAAGGAGGGGAAGCTCCTTATGGGGCCACGGGACGTGTGAGAGGTGTGCCGACATGAGCGGGGGGGAGCGGGGGGACACCGCCGCGAGGCCTTCGGTGAAGCTGTCTGGGGCCGACCAAGAAACGCGCGAGGGGCGTGCCGAAATGGGTCGGGGGAGACGCATGTGATTACAACCACTGGGGCCTTCGGTGGAGCTCCATATGGGGCCACGAAACGCCGTACTGGGTGGCGCGGACACATGTGGTGGGCCTTCGGTGGAGCTCCCTATCGGGCCACGAAACGCTGTACTGGGCGGCGCGGACGCATGTTGTCACAGCCACGGGGGCCTTTTGGTGGAGCTCCCTATGGGGCCACGAAGCGCTGCACTGGGTGGCGCGGATGCCTGTGGTCACAGCAAAGGGAGCCTTCGGTGGAGCTCCCTGTGGGGCCGCGAAACGCTGTACTGGGTGGCGCGGGTGCATGTGCTCACAGCCACTGGGGCCTTCGGTGGAGCTCCCTATGACGCAACCAAACGCTGTACTGGGTGGGGCGGTTGCAGGTGGTCACAGCAAAGGGGGCCTTCGGTGGAGCTCCCTATTATAGGGAGCCCACAAAGGACGTACGCGCCCAGCTATGTACATGAACACGGCCCCTCGATCCGCGAGACCGGCCGCGTTATACGAACATTTGCGCAATGCGTACTCTCGAAACCAGCGTGGATTCATGTACGTGTACGTCCTTTTGTCGCTCTTGATATTAGGCCTCGACCGCTGCAATGGGTGGCGCGGACGCATGCCTTCGGTGGAGCTCCCTGTGAGGCCACGAAACGCTGTACTGGGTGGGGCGGACGCCTGTGGTCACAGCCACGGAAGCCTTCGGTGGAGCTCCCTATGGGGCCATGAAACGCTGTAGTGGGTATCGCGGACGCATGCGGTCACAGCCACTGGGGCCTTCGGTGGAGCTCCCTATGAGGCCACGAAACGCTGTACTGGGTGCGGAGAGCAGAGGCAGGGATGGGAGCATGGGAGGAGGGGCGAGGAGAAAAAGAAACGCGGGGCGCTGCCTCTTCAAAATGAGGACCCAACACAACAGGAGGGTGGGGCACTACTTCATTAAATCAGCACCTGCGCATGCAAGTTCAACGACGACAAAGATCATAGATGTCTCGCGGCAATACCATCGGCGAGTATGAGCAACATAATAAAACGCAAAGTTTGGCGCTGACGACATCATCGCCTTCCCCCTCCTTCCTCATCCACCCTCGCCTTCCTTCCGCTTCCTCCATCCCTCTCCTCCTAGCCAGTCCTCCGCCTTGCCTTCATCTCTCATCTCTCGCACTCCCTCCCTCCCTCGCACTCTCCCACACCAGCCATACGCATACGACAAGAAAACACATCGACCTACTGGCACGCTCCAGCTGACGCGGGCGGAGGGGGGATCGCACCGTCATCGCGGACGAATTCATGTTCGCCTACGCGAAGGTCCGACAAGGACCACGGAAAACAAACAGAGAGGTACAGAAGCAAAAAGGCCGGAGAGGTGGAGAGAACATGATGGAACCGATCAGGCAGGCGGGGAACGGGAAGAGAAGCAGGAGGACTTTGAGAGAAGGGAGGAGGAAAGGAAGGAGGAACAACAAATCAGGAGCACAGGGAGCGAAGGAAGGATGACGGAGGGAGAAAGACACGGAGAGAGAGACAGAGAGAGAGCGAGACAGAAAGAGAGAGAGAGAGAGCGACATAGTTCTGCATCGAGAAAGATTAACCAAGTAACAACATTAGCCTGCGTAGACCACGAACAGTGAACTATTGGAAGTGGCAACTACGCGGTGTAAGCTAGGTAGTGTACGCAATGTCGTGCAAACTATATGGTATGAGCTACGGGGGGTAAACTTTATGAAATGCAAGCTACGTTGTGTAACAAACGTCGTAGTATATATGCGGTGCGAGTTGGACGTTTGAGATCTGCGGCCTTAGCTATGTAGTGTAATATGTATATGTGTATATAGTTATGGTGTAAGCTACGCAATGCAAGCGATGTGGTGTTAGCTAGGTCGTGCAAGCTAGGTGGTTCAAGCATGTGCGAACTACGTGGTGCAAGCTCAGCGTACGGGGCGCCCACGAGGTGGCACGGGCGGCAAAGCGGTGCAACCTCGGCAAACCCACCCAACGCACGGACCGCCTCCCACCGCGGGCGGCCACGTAGCGCAACGTCGGCAAGCCCACCCAGCGCATGGAGCGCCAACGAGCGCCCACGAGGCGGCACGAGCGGCAACGTGGCGCAACCTCCGCAAACCCACCGGCGCACGGGGCGCACAAGAACGCCCAAGAGGCGGCACGGGCGGCAACGTGGCGCAACCTCGGCAATCTCCCCAACGCACGGGGCGCCCACGAGAGCCCACGAGGCGGCACGGGCGGCAACGTGGCGAAAAACCAGAATACCCTACCAAGTCTTCAACAAGAGCAAGTGGCAGCCCCCAACTGCAAGCACTGGTTAAGAAATGTGTGTATATTCTATATGTGTGTTGTGTTGTGTTGTGTTGTGTTGTGTTGTGTTGTGCTGTGCTGTGCTGTGTTGTGGTTTGGTAGTTGTGTTGTTCCGCAATCAGAGCTTGCCTCTGTAGGGGTCCTAGCAGATTCATATGGTTAGGTCGAGTTTGTCGCCGATCTTCGCTACACGCCCGGGTGCCCGGGGGCCCGGGGGTGCCCAGGGCCGGGGTGCCCAGGGGGTGCTCGAGCGTGCCCGGGGTTGCCCGGGGGTGCCCGGGGGTGCCCTATAGCCCTATAGCCCTAAGCCCTATAGCCCTATAGCCCAATAGCCCAATAGCCCTATAGCTCTACAAGTCTATAGCCCTATAGCTCTATAGCCCTATAGCTCAATAGCCCCCTAGCCCTACAGACCTGATTGGGGCGTTTCTCCAGTATCATGTTGTGGTTTTGTATGGTGTGGTGTGGCGTGGCGTGGTGTGGCGTGGCGTGGCGTGGTGTGGTGTGGTGTGTCGCGTTGTGTTGTGTTGTGTTGTGTTGTGTTGTGGTGTGATGTGTTTTGTGCGTTGTGTGTTGCATGGTGTGTGTTGTGTCGGTTGCGTGCTGTGTGTTTTGTGTTGTGTGTTGTGTGTAGGTGTCGTGTGTCGTGTGTCGCGTGCTGTGTAGTGCGTGGTGTATGGTGTAGTGTGTGGTGTGTTGTAATGCGTGTTATGTGTTGTGTGTTGTGTGTTGTGGGTTGTGGGTTGCGTGTTGTGCGTTGTGTGTTGTGTGGTGTGTGGTGTGTGCGTGTGCGTGTTCGTGCGTGTGCGTGTGCGTGCGTGTGCGTGTGCGTGTGCGTGTGCGTGTGCGCGTGCGTGTGCGTGTGCGTGTGCGCGTGCGCGTGCGCGTGCGTGTGCGTGTGCGTGTGCGTGTGCGTGTGCGTTTGCGTGTGCGTGTGCACGTGCGCGAGCGTGCGCGTGTGCGCGTGCGTGTGCGCGCGGGTGCGCGTGTGCGCGTGCGTCTGCGCCTGCGCGTGCGTGCGCGCGCGCGTGCGCGCGCGTGCATGCGCGCGTGCGCGCGTGTGCGCGTGCGCGTGCGCGTGCGCGCGCCCGTGCGCGCGCGGTGCGCATGCGCGCGCGGTGCGCGCGCGCGTGCGCGCGCGTGCGTGCGCGAGTGCGCACGCGTGCATGCGCGCGCGCAAGTGCGCGCCTGCGTGTGCGCATGTGGGCGCGCCGTTAGTATCGAGCTCGCGCGCGCGCGCCACGTGTTCGAAATGGAATAACGCGCCCGCCTCGAGCTGGCGGGCGACGGCGCGGCCAGGAACAAGATCGGACTACGCGAGCGGCGCACTCGCGCACTGGGCGTCTCCATCCAGAAGCCCCCCCCCCCCCCCCACGCGCGCCCCAGAGCGCCCGCGCCGCCTGGTCCGAGACTGGGCGCCCCAGCACCTACTCGGGGACCGCAAGGACGGGGAGTGAGAATCGTACATACCCACCTGAGAATCCGATGATTACCCCGGTTGGGCCAGCGAGGATTTCCCCGGCCTGTCCCCGATCGTTTCGCGCCAGTCCCCCGCCGCCGCCTGGCTGGTGGATGTCAAGCCTATACGGCCACCCTGCCCTGGCGGCCCAACCCAGGATCACCGCTCCCAGCGCTTCCCCGCCAACAGCGCCATTGCCCTGTTCGACGCCGGGAAGGGCTAAGAGTTCCACCCGGCCAACGCAACCGCAGACGCGCCAACGGGACCCGACAAACCCTTTCATCGAGGTGACCGCGCGCCTCTGCAGATGCAGAGCAACGCCATCTGGGCCGCCATCCAGGACGCGCCCATGCCGCGCGCGACCACAGAGGCCCTGCGCGGGGCGGCCTTTTCGGCGCACCTTGGCCAGTCGCTCCGCAGACATCGAGAACAGAGAAGCCGCCAACGCCGCCAGCAACGCGGCCCAGGAGGCCAGCCTGCCGCGCGCCCGGGCAGCGGCCGCGCCGCACTCCCCCACCCCTGACCCAGACGACCCCACCGACGGACCTGCGGTCGCCGCGCACGCCGCCACGGACGAAAAGGCAGAAGAACGCAGTCCAAGACACGTCCTCCAGGAGAGCGCGCCCCGCCCCCGCCCTTGCCGACGCCCGAGACGCGGCCGCGAAGCGCAATTTGAACGGCGCGCAGGCCAGGGCTCTGCAGCAGCCCCCCCCTGCCCTGGCGCCGCTCGCCCGCGGCCCGCCAGGCGCGGGGAAGACCGAGACCACTGTCGCAGTCCTGGACCTGCCACCCCCGCGCGCCCCTCCGGCCCGGGCAATCGGCCATTCTCCGGCCCCGACAAGGACGCGGACATGCCGGCCAAATACCTGGCAGATGCCACGGCGAGCGGGAGATTTGGCAAAGGCCCAGGCCCCCCAGAACAGGCCGCTCGTCTGACTCGAGACGACATGGTGGCCAACCAAGGCCAGAGCGCCCGCTCCGGGTCTGCTTTGTTCGGGGCATGGGGCGACATCCCCTAGTCGGAGCCAACGGGAACCCGCTCTAGAAGCACAAGATAGGGCTCATCCAGGCAGTTGAGCTCATCCTGGCCACGCACGAACTTGCCGCAGACCTCGACGACCCTCACTGCCCAAAAATGCAGCTGGGCGTCCTAGACGAGACTGGACAGTCCACGGAAGCCCTCGCTATCATCTCTCTGATGCTGCTAGTTCGCAGCGAAGTGACGAGAACCAGCTCCACCCCGCAGTAATCTCAGACCAGGCCGCAGCGATGGGCACGATACTCTCTGTCCTCGGGCGCTTCCACGACTCTGCAGGGAATGACCCAGCCTGCAACGTGCTCCTGGATCGCAGCAGCCGCATGAACACCAGCATCCTGCAATGGCCACCCCATTGCTTCTACCAGGGCAGACTCGACTCTGGGCTGAACAGCATTGCAACGCAAAACAAATGATTCAGGGCCCCCCTTGGCGTCGGCCAGGCCACTCACCCAGGCCAAAGCCGACCAGGCTCGCCGCCACGAGGGGCGCGCCGACGGGCAGCCCCCCGCTGGCACCAGACGCATCCGCAACCCCACCCATGGCGCAACACCTGGCGACAACGTTCGCGCACTCATGGCGCACGAGAAGTCAACCGAGGTCACGTCGGACCGAGCCAATGGCATCGCCAACGCAAAGGAGGCGGGGGCGGTGCGCGACCTAGTCAAGGCCGCCGAAGACCATCTGGCGCATATCAAACACGTGTCCTGGCACTGCGCGGGCATGCGACGCGACCGGTCTTCATGTCAAAAACGCGGCCCATCGACCCCGCGACCCTCCTGCAATCACATCAGCAGGACAAGAAGCAAGTCGAAGGGCCAAGACGCACCCAGCTGGAAGGGCGCGCCAACGGGTTCTCGAGGAGCCCCCCTGGCCCCCCGCGACGTAAGAAAAAAACGGGGAAAGGAGAAAGGCCGGCGGGCATAAACTTCCGCCATCAGTCCCCCGCCACCTCCAAAGGCCACGTCTTACACTTCCGTGGCCTAGAGAAGCGACACCCGGGGAAGGAAGAGAGGCATTGCGAAAACGCTTCCCAGCAAGGGTCAGCCACTGCGTCCGCGCGCGCGCAAAGCACGCGCGCCCCGACCTTCCTGCAAAAGCTGGATTGACTGGGTCACAAGACGGCGGCGCGCGCGCTGCTCCAGCGGCCGTCCAGTTGCGGCGCCGCTGAGGACGGCGGCCACCGCGGGTGGCGCAGCGCGCGGTGCGACGCGCCGTCGACTGCACTGCTGCAAGCTCGCGCGGTTCCACTGCGATTTGCGGCTGCCGCGCGCTGGCGCGGCCTGCCAGACGCGCTCGCCAACGCGGCCCTGGTGGGCGGCCACGCTGGCGTCTCGATGGCAAGGGGGGCCCCACCCGCGGCCGTAGTAGGCGCGAAGGGGAAACGCAGCGGCGGCGCAGGCATTGACCGGTGAGCGGCCTGGCCTGCACCTGGACCCGCTGGACGCAGACGAGCGCGTTTGCGGGCGTCGGCCAGGCTGCGCCCTCAG